ATGCGGGGCTCGATCCCAGGACCCCGGGACCACGACCTGAGCCGAAGGCAGATGCTTAACGACTGAGCCACCCAGGTGCCCCCATGAAACAGTTTTATTCAAACTCTTCACTTGCATCTCCAAAATCAGACATCATGGTCCACTTGCTTGAAGCGTCACACATCACCTTCAATTCTAAGTGGTTTCTAAGTGAGATACATTACTTGAAGCTAGAAGTCGTGTGGAAATTTTACCCCCCCCCCCAAATGAGGGTCCTTTGTGTAACATTGGGAGTTTTTCTTCTTCATGCAGTAGATTTATGATCTTCACAGAAGGACTACTGAATTCTTTTTTAATGCAGATCTCACTGAAGTGCAACCGTATACGAGAAAGTATATAAATCTTAAATGTATGGGCTGGTGCATTTTCAGGGTGAACACACTCAGGAAGCAAGCACCCAGATAAAGTGGTAAGAGAGCCTCACTAGCTCCCTCTCGTGCCACCTTCCCATCACCTCTCCAAGGGCCCCACCCCTCCCCTGCTATGGCAACCCGATCCCGACTTCTAACCCCACGGATGAATTTTGCCTGGCTTGGAACCTTACATGAGATGGTACAAAATGATTTACACAGGACATAATTTTTTGTCTGGATTCCTTTATCAGTATTACGTTTGCGGCCCCTCCATGTGGCTGCATCTAGTAGCACGCTCATTTTCGTTAATGTGGAATATTCCACTGTCTGAATATACGCCAATTTTACCCATTCTACGTAGATGGACATTCGGGTTGTTTCCAGACCTTGGTTGTTATGAGTAGTGCTGCTAAGGACATTCCCAGACAGGTTTTGTATGCACCTGCTATGGTTGGGGGTAGCCCAGTGGGACTGGCGGGTAGGGTCATGCGCCATCTCCGCAGACCCTCCGGTTACACTCCCGCTGGCGGGTCACCGACAACCTCACCAACACCCGGCATTTCTGCTGTCCGAACTTCAGCATGCAGGGGCATTTTATTGTAGTTTTTATGTGCATGTTCCTGGTCTTAGGAAGTTAAGCGCATTTCTCATGGGTTTATTAAGCATACTTACATCCTATTTTGTGAACTACCCATTCAATTTTTTTTGTCCGTTTTCCTGTTGGTTTACATCTTTTCTTAAAATGAATTTGTGGGAGCTTTTTAGATATTCTAGATACAAATTCGTCATCAGATAGTGTATTGCAAGCCATTCCACCCACTACATGGCTTGCCTTTTCACTCTGAAAGAATACAATGCCCTTCATCGTGTATTGTACTCTTAAAGGGATCATGAAGAGGGTTTTACAACATCTGTAACCCAGGCAATGTGTCCATTCCTTCGCCTCCTTTTATACCTGATTCTGTCTGGTGCCATTTAGAAGCACACAGAACTAGTAGTAGGAGGTCATTTTGGGGTTATTTTTTTACTATGAAATCATCAAGATGGGAGTTCCTTATAACTTTGAGAATGATTTCTGGTGGGGAAAACATCCTACATTTAAGCATATATTAAGAATTCATCCCTCCCAAGCCAGTCTTTGCAGCATCTAAGAGCAAGCTTCAATTTACTGGCTTCCTATATATCCTTGACAGTCAGTTCTGTGTTGTAATCGAAGCCTTTGTCTTTATTAGTGTTATCACTGGCTATATGTTGGTAATCATTTACTGAGTATTTAAATGTTTTTGCATTTAGCCTGCAAAAGGGCAAAGCAACACTTTTCTTATAATGTTGTGCCAGCTTGGCAGGGTATAGCTCCCGCTTATTCAAACACTAATCTAGGTATTGCTATTAAGGGATTTTGCGGATATAATTAAAGTCCCTAATCAACTGACTTTCAATAAGGAAGATTATCCTGGATAATATGGTGGGCCTCACCCAATCAGGCCTTAAAAACAAGGCTGAAGCTTGCTCCGGACAGGAAATCCCACCTGTGGGCAACAGCCTCAGCCCATGCCTGTGGGGGTCCCATCCTGCTCATGAACCTTCCTGTTGGCCTGCCCTATGGATTTTATTATTTTTTTTAAGATTTTATTTATTTGACAGAGAGAGAGCACAAGTAGGCAGAGAGACAGGCAGAGAAGAGAGGGAGAAGCAGGCTCTCCGCTGAGCAGGGAGCCTGATGCAGGACTCGATCCCAGGACCCTGGGATCATGACCTGAGCCGAAGGCACACTTAACCGACTGAGCCACCCAGGTGGCTTTTAGACTTGCCTAGCCAGCCCCCACATTCACATAAGCCAATTCCTTATTAAAAAAAAAAATCTTAGTATGTATTATTTCCTGCTAGTTCTGCTTCTCTAATTAAATCTGCAACTAATACGGTGATCTTAGAAGTACACAACTGCTTTTCTTTACAAAGGAGTTACCAACAACATGCATAAAATTCGTGAATTAAACAATATTCCTTATTAGAGGACACAAAACTGTTAAGACTGGAACCATTTTGTGTGTAGCTCACTATAGGGCTCAATCTTGACTACTGATATTTCAATAGGACTGATTTTAAAAATTTTAGTACAATCTGATTCACATTTAAATAGTACTAATTTCATAACTTTAAGAACCTGATGGCTTCTTTAATTGCTGTACAATATGCAGTCTTCTTGAATGTTTAAAATGTATAATCTTTGAACTAGGTGAGGGGGATCATGAGTACACTTATCTTGATGAGCACTGAGTAACAGATGGAAATGCTGAATCACTATATTGCACACCTGAAAATAATTCAACACTCTGTTAACTACACTGGAATTAAAAACTTTTTAAATGTATAATCTTCCTGTTTCTCTAATAGAAAAATCTTTTTTAAATAAGCAGACTTCATCTATAATGCTTCAGAAGTTTATTCATTAAGTTCTTAAAGGAACACAATTTGGTATTTATGAAGAGACGGATTACTTTTCTTGGCGAGCTCACCAAGCTAAATTTCTGCATGTAACTGAAGGAAAATACTGTTTACAGTAACATATGAAACAACTTTCCTTATATAGCTATTTCCAGATTGAATCTGATTATTTAATTCTTGTCTCTGGGGAGATTCCAGAAATCAATGTCCACAAATCTGTTTGGCTTAATAGATAAGAAAAGAAGTATCACTGGATTGGGTTTAGGAAATCTGGCTTCTAATCTTAGCTGTCCCACAAGTAACTGTGTAAGGATGGGGAACTTACTTAACCTTTCTGAGCCTACTTCCTTATTTAACAACAAATCAGTTATTAAATGCCTATTAGAAGCCAAGCAGTTGCTAGACACTAGAGATCTAACACTGAACATAATGAAGACAGTCCGTGCTTTCACAGACTTCAAGCCTGACAAAGTGAGGGGTTTAGGCTAAATTACCTCTAAGACCCGTTCCTGAGTTAGCATTCTAGGATTTAAATGGGATTATATTCATATATTCTGTGGCCTGAGGTTAATACAACAATGATTTCCAAATGACCTTGCAAAAGCTGTAAAGTATTAAATAGTTCCCATATGAACATTGGTAAAATAACTTTTAAATTGTAAGCAGGTTTTACGTATTTATTCAGAAAGTGATTCAACTACAGAATGATGCATTGTTAGCACTATGAAATCCAATGTCTTGAAATCATTTTTCTTTTTATAATCTTGAACAAATTTTATATAATCTTGAACAAATCCTCTTATCTGAAGTTTTCATGCATTCAGGTATTTTGCATGATGTCTGATGTGATCAGTAATAAAGGTTGCAATGAAGTAGTAGCTATGATCATAACCCTAGAAGACAAAAGAGAGAAACAGTAAGATATTTATCAGTCAGAAACATCAATATTAAGGACATTAAATATATCTCTCATGTCACTTAATTTTCTTGTAAGTCCTGAAATTATTAGAACATGACGAAGGCTTATAATCAAAATCAAGCTTATTATACTTGTACTTCAACATTTTCACTGAACATTAAAAGAACAGCAAAAATAGAAGAAGAAACATTCTGCACAGCCTGGTTTCTAGATGCTGCCATTAATATGCAAAGAGAGGAAATAACACATTAATCAAATGTACAGTGTAAACAGGTGGTCATATCAACAAGGAATAAAATAATCAGAATTTAAAGAAGTCAGAAACATAGACAAGAAGTTTTAACTCACAGAAGAAACACACTAACATCGGTAAGACGGAAAATGTTAAAATACAAAATAAGCACACAAAGACAATACAGAGAAAGAGCAAAAAACCAGCCAAATGGTTAAACATTGTTTGGGAAGTCAAACACAGCTATCCTAAGTCTAGTTAGGAATTTCACCTCCTATGCAATAAAAGCATATCACATTTTTATTTGAGGAAAAAGGAATAATTCATTAAACCCTGACATCCCTTAGCAATAAACCACACTGGGTAAAAAGCCAGTCAACTATTTTGAAAACTATTCTGAAACAGAGAGAAAATGTAATAAACAGATCTCATGCTATCTGGTTAATTAAAACCACATCTAGATAAATGGAGAGAAGATGCTTCCTCGGGGCATCCTCTGAGTACAAGGTAAGATGACGCTTTCAAAGGAAAAAGGGAAAAATTAAGGTGGGAAGAACCTAAGGGGGTTAAACACCAGGTAATTTGGGGGTGGCCTCCCTTCCAAAACACAATGAAAACATAAGGTGAAATAAACTGAAAGGAGGTAAAAGTCTAAGAAAGATTTTTAAGTTTTTAGCTTATTCAATGGTCTCTGATGAGAGAAAATGGGAATTTTCCTAAGCACTTAAGAAGCAAAAAAAGCCCTAATAAAAATATCAACTGGGTTCCAAGGAACAAAGCAAATCATTAAGGTTTTGATGAAATCAGTAAATGTTCTTAATCTCTTACTTTCAGACATATGCAATGTTATATATCTTGTGAACAGAAGTTAATAAGTAAAGAGTTCCAGGTCAAAGTCATCAAAGTAACTTAAAAGCATGATCTTTTGTTTCCTGTGGCCAAATCACAGAAATGAATCTGACAAGAATGTTGTCAAAATTAAGGCTGAGCTCTGGACTTACTTGGTTTCACATTTCTCAATGATTAGACCAGCCCCAGTTAATTAGTTCAATTTAGAGCTGAAGGCATTTCTTAGAGAGAAACATAAAGAAAAGCATTTTCCATTCCTGTAATTCCTCAATCATTCCAAGGTTAAACAGGATCTTCAGACCCATGATTTCAACCCACAAACCCTAGGAAATGTAGGACCAAGCAGCACCTGCCAGTTTTTACACACCGATAGATGGCTCTGACTGAAGACAGGTCCGGATGCAAGGATGTGGGTGCCCCGGCACCCTGTGCAGCACGTGCCCTAATGTGACCGAGGGCTCCAACCTTATGCAGCTTCACAGCGGTTTAATGCCTTGCACAGTGTCAGGAACACACGGCGTAGCTATGACTATTCTTGTTATTATTTATTATTATTATTATTATTAGAGAAGTCCCAGGGTAAAACAAAGTTACAATTTTGAGCTCTCAGGAGTGTACCACAAGATTACGGTATATTCTATCTAAAATACAAAGCCAATGCCCGTAACTTCCACAGTGATATTTAACAGAAGATCCACCTTTACGAGAAAATAGAAAATGGCCTATCACGACACAGCGAGAAAGATTTTTTTTTTAGAGAAAGAGAGCGCACGTATACAAGCAGGGGGAGGGGCAGAGGGAGAGAGAATCTCAAGCAGACTCTCCATGAGCACAGTGCCCATCGCGGGGCTTGATCTTTCAACCCTGAGATCATGACCCGAGCCGAAATCAAGAGTCGGACGCCCAACCAACTGAGCCACCCAGGCGCCCCGAACACTCGCTTCTTGAAACCCAAGAGTTTTCTTCTGGTGACACTTGTATCTCTCTAACTGTTCTTTTTTCATTTTCTTCATAGTCTTCTCTTTCTTTTCTTTTAGGAGGATCACCCTCCTAAAAGATCTCTGGGGGTGCTCACCAGCAGTAGTGACTTATGAATCTACAAATCTCTGCAATTCTAGATCCCACTTCCCATCTGAGATCTAGCATGATGTAGCTCTGGGTGTCTCCACTTGGCGGTCCTATAGATCCTTCAGTCTCAAGGTATTTAAAATTTAATTCCCTGTCTACCTTCCCAGATCCTGTCTTCTTCTCATGCATTTCCTGATTCAGTGGTTTCACCGCCTCCCCAGCCTCCCGAGCCAGGCATTGTAGGATCATCACCAACGTGTCCCTGTCCCTGTTAGCTGGTCACTAAGCCACGTAGAGCTTCCCTTAGAAAGGGAGGATCTCAGCCCCAGCATCTCCTCTTCATCCCTGCCACCTTAGTGTCAGCCTGCAATGGCTCTCCCAGGGATGAGTAGTCAGTGGTCCCTCTGGTCTCCCTGCTCTTTACCCTCTCCCCGCTGCTACTACAGTCATATTTATAAAACACAAATCTTATGTCTCGTCCCTGCTGGAAACACCCTCCGTATCTCACTATTATTTATGCAGTAGATTTCAATGCCATGCATGTCTCTCCAATCTGTTACCTGTTTGCTGCTAACGCCCTCTGGTGCAGCCACTCCAGTCTCCCCTCTCCTGGGCCGTGCTGGGGTCTCTGATGTCTCTGTCCCCCGTGCTACATTTGCTGCTTGGAATGTCCTCTCACTTATTCTTGACTTTGTAAAGTGCAACCTTTTCGGTGAAGCTATCCCCACACCCTCCAGATGATCTCTTCCTCCTTGGTATTCCTGAAAAAGAATTTGGTCTGCTGTATTCGAATGTTCATTTCTAAATACAACTCCTCATATTGGACAAAATCATTTCAGTGGGGAAAAAGGCATAAAAAGACCCTCAATAATTCATCTGTTCTCTTAGAGAAATCTTAATAATAAGAGTAATCATAGACCCATGTGTGATGAAGAAAACGAAATACCACGGCTGAGGCCTACTGAGTAGTCACTCCCTGACCAGCACTGGTCAAGGCCTGTGTTGTACGTCTCCCCGTACCCCTGGGAGGCGGCACCTACCACAACCTCCACTTTGCAGGGAGGTGACTTGTTCAAGGTCCCTGAGTCCTAAGCGGCAGTATAGTTTGGATTCAGATCCCCCGCAGTCTGGCTCAGAGCGCGTGCTCTTCAATGCTATCAACCCTTACTGAACGCCCTGGACCGAGTACCTACAATCATAAAAATAGGAGTAAATAGTTGAAGCCTTTACTTGGGTTATTTTCTTTGATCTTCATGATGACCCTAGAAGTAGGTCCCATTATTATCATCCCTCTTTTGCTCATGAGTACAACAGGAAGTCGTCGTGGGGCTCTCTCTATCCCAGTTCTGACAAAGGTCCCCAAATAGTGGGCACTCCGTACGGTCACCTTCGAAAGGGAGGTGTTAGGCCACCTGCAAAGGGGGATGTGAAACCCAGCTCGGTCCAACGCCCTCTGTGAAGGGGTTAAGAAGAGTTGAGGAGGGCAAAGGTTTTCAGAGAGAGGTGCGGGGTGCTGTGCATTTCCTCAGCCTTGCCCTGCCATGGAAGCGGGGGGTGGTCTACCTCAGGCCTCGGTAGATGGGCAAACAGGGACTATTTGGAAAGCCTGATGTGTGCTCTCTGGAGTTTTTGATGCAGGGGTCTGGCCTCTGAACTCTGGCCTGTGGGGTGGCAGGGCAGAGAGAAGGGGGCTACCCCAGGAATGAACTGAGCTCCTTTCTGGGGTGCAGACAGAACACGGGCTTCTCCAGACGCGGTCCCCCACGCCCCCCATGAGGGAACTGCTCTATAAGGTTGCTTTGAACTCTCCTGGAGGTAAGTTCGTGGGGGGTGCATGGGACATGGCTGCAGCAGAAAGGCTGTGGGAGGGGCCGAATCATGAAATCCCTCAGCAGAGAACAACTGAATAAGGCTGGAGTATTAGCAGGATTATAAAATTCATATTTTAGAATCAAAATGATAATCTCAGCAGCTGGGGGAGCGTCTGTGCACTATGCAGCAAGTATGGGCTGGATCAGTCTATGATGAAGGCCGGAATGTTCTATAGTCTGTCAGGCCTTATTTGTATGTAACTAAGAAAATGAGTTATTTGCTATTTACTCTAGAAAACTTTACTTTTTAGTGTGTGGCCTATTGTGATTGTCCTGATCAAAACACTGGGTGGCAGTATTTTTACTGAAATGATTTCACAAGAGCCCCTAAAGCAGTAGGTTTCAGTCTTCTGAGAAGAATAATCCTACTTAACCAGCAATGAACAAAAAGGCAACATGCCATCAATCCACCACCTGAACAGCCTGTGCTGAAAATTACGACTCTAAATGCGGTGTTTTAACCACACACACACACACACACACACACTCAGACACACTCAGACATTCACACATACACACCAGAATGCCAGAAATATCATCTTAATAAATTCAAAGTCTCTTGCCTTTTCTAGGTCCTACCTCCATGCCCCATTTTTAATAGTATTTGAATTTGTCTAATAAACCCAATGAGATGAAAATGTTAACGTATTTGACTGGTTGAGTATATACCATTGTCATCCAAAAAGGGCACTAGGATTCTCTTCTTTACGTACTGTCACCAGGAAGTGAACTACTCATTAAACATCGCCAGTGACAGAAGGCGGACACCTGGTGCCAAAGAGACGTGAATGAAATCGGAAATCCAATGCTCTTGGATTGGAGTCCTGGTCTCAGGCCAAATACTACAGGGGTGTAGATTCCTCTTACTTCCTCTCTGAAGACCAAAAGGACATTTTGTCCTGGGCTGGCTGGGGCCACTAAAAGAAGTGAAGAAGTTTACAAACGACGCTCTCC